AAAAAAACAACCAAAAAAGTATGATTGGATCTTTCCAGACAGTAAAGTGGGGAGAGTGGGGGGAGAAGAGGCAGATGAGGGGCGAGTTAAAAAGAAAATCCCCCCTGGTTTATATTAAATGTGACACAGCTTCTGTAGGATCAATACAAATGGTAGGTGAGCTTTGTGTATAATAAATCTTAAAAGAGTAATTCAAGTTCTTTATGAAATAAAACAGAAACAAAAATGCAGTTTCATGGACAATTAAATTTAACATAAAACGAATTCACCTAAAATGAGGAAACAACAAACAAACCCAAAAAACTCAACCAAAAGGACCTGTAGATATTATCTCTGACCATGCATGGCTTGTTTTTTAAATTACAATTCACAGAATAACACTGCTGGAAGCCTATTTTACACTATGCTACACAGAACATGAAAAAAACATGAGTAGTGACATTTACACAATTTTACAGTATTTCTCCTTTGTCTAAGAAACACGTCCTTTTCTACTTTACATTTTTTTACAATTCCCAGCTCACAAGAAAAGGACACTATACGGGCAAAGACAGTCTTTAAAAAGGAGAAATGCACCCAATGCTACAAATAAACCTTTTCTTTCACAGAAGCCTCTGTATTAGATAGTGATTAAACAAAATATATTTCTATCTGCCACTCAATGTGAAATGGACTAATTAGAAATAATTTTAATTTTTTTTTTAATTTTTTCTGTGTAAACATAAAACTATACAACATCTCTGAAACTCCTTGCATTACTTTCTATGTAACTATTAAACTGCCAAAAATTTCTTGAGATCACATCTGAAATGCCAATTGAGCCAGTTGCAGCCCTAGTTGAAGCAAAGGATGATGGGCCTTACGTGTTGTTCAAGTGTTTGCAAACGATTTTCAACAGTTGCCTATAACCAAAACTTTTCTCTTTCAAAAACACTTCTTTTTTTTTTTTTTCCTTTCAGAGTCTGTAAGTACCTGGCAGTTTTTCCTGCAGAGAAACATCAACAGCCACAGCCCTTGCAGCTTTGACAAGTGCTTCTTGCCTCCCGATTCTGGAAGTGCAGAGCCACCATCCAAACGTGGCACAGGGTCAGGCTCCCTGACAATGCACACACACACAGCCTCCCCCAAAGGCAACGAGAGGATCAGAACATATGCTGTGAGCCTACAGGAATGCAAAAGAGAGGAGTATGCTCCTGCTTTTCACTAACACCATGTCCCTGTGCATCCTTTAGATGGAGGCAGGCAGTGTGTACACCTGCCTAAGAGTTGCAGTGGAAGGATGAAGGATGTGAAACTGGTAGGCACCACCTTGTCCCCATTTCATCTCTGTGAAATCAAAGCATTGTAATAACCACAACTGCACAGTGTTCTTGAATCTGGACTACTACCATCAGCCAAATGGCTTCTAAAGCATTTTGGACAGCCACTTGTTAACTCCACTGGGAAGGTTGCTATAGGGCAGGAACCATTTACTGCACCTATGGCGACATTGTGCCCCTTGGGGTTGCAGCAGATGTCACAGTCCTCAAATGTGACTTCTCAATGGCTTTTAGTGTTGGTCAGAGTATTTTTAGAGCACAGGACACGGGGATTTATGGTGCTGTTCTGCAGAAACTTGCAGGAAGCCCTTGATGTTCACTCACATCAAGACTCTGACTCCAAATTTCTGTTAAATCAGGATGTTAATCCTTATCTTGATATTCACATGTGGCTTTCTATTAAGCTAAAGCCAAAGTCTTGTTTATCTACAAATCTGATGCCTTACTTTGCTGACAGAGTCAATCACTGCAGAGATTTACAATAAAAGGGGGTCAAAAGAGAAAAAGAAATGCATTTGGAAATCTGCTTTTGACGGTGCTTCCAGTGTTTATGAGAGCAAGAAAGACCCTCATCAAACCATTTTTTTTGGTTGATTTTGGATTATAGACAGGGATCTATTAAACAGAAGGGTCACATGGAGCAGCCAAGGGGCTATAAAACATCTGGAATCCATGAGCCTGGTGCCGAGCCTTACTGAAAGGTGAAGAGTGATGAATTTAATTTTTGTGAGGGATCTTTCATTCTCGATTGTGGCACACAGGCATTCCCTGGGGTTGTTTCTTCACTGCAGCCACATAACTGCTACTGAAAGTTATCCCTCGGTTGGGAATGAGGGAATACAAAGTATTTGTATGAAGTCTGAGTTTAAACACCAAGCAAGATGAAAGGAAATTAAGATAGCTTCCCTTTGGCAGCCATTTCGTATGCTAACGTTTACCTCAGCATCCAGATCAGGAAGGCATTATGGTTGCAGATGGACAGACAAGTTATTGGCAGCAGATGGGTGCTGAAATGAACACCAGCAGTGACTCTGAGAGCTTGGTGGAGATACAAAACTCTGGGCACTACATTTGCAGCTGACTCTTCCCTTTCCCATGGTACCAGAGGTAGTTATTATGGCTGCAAGTGTTTAAGAACAGCCTTCATGGATCTCTAAGTCAGAAACAGGAACATATGTTGCTACATTGTGTATATCCAGGACTTTTATATTTGACACAAACCAATCCATATCTCACACATGGTTTAAAAGAAGTGTTACACCCTTATGGTGGGCTCTTTGATGATGGAGGGACAGGCAGCAGCTCAAAACCCAAAGGTTACAACCTCATTAGACAGTGCGAGAAATGCAGATATAATGATTTCCTCCATTTCATCTGGAATCCACTAGTTAGATGAAGGGGAGCAATGTTATTCCCACAGTCAGGACATGTTAGCAGACTCTGGAGGAAATACTGCCACCTTACAGACAGCACATAAGACCACTGACCATTTTTACCAGGAACTGAAATGAAAATCTTTTCTGCAGTTATTGCATTGTTACTGTGTTTGTTGATCTAGCTGCAGTAAACATTGAGGACAGTGGAATTAATCTGACTGTATACTACTGTATAAACAAGACCAAGTTATTCTTCAGAAAAATTGGTATCCGCTTTCCAGATAGAGAGCATGAATGGAAAAACAAACAATGGAAAAACAGACAAGGAAGAACATGCTTCACATGTAAGACACTTGCATCCAGAGAATCTGAAAGAAACCAGCTTTTTTTTTTTCCTGAACTTAATCTAACCCCATTCCCCATATTTAACGTTCTCCTCGATAAGGAGCATATAAAGTTTTGCACAATTCTTGGGAAATACATAAGCCCAACTATTAGTAATTCATCAGCTATGTTACGTTTCTGAGACAGATGCTGTACTATGTCTAAATGAGATGCAAATTTGTTCCCTGTTAGCAAGTGGTCACCAACAGCCATCTATTTTGCACATTCAGCATATTTTAATTAAAATAGTCAGTTTAAAAACTTGTTCAATTTTCTCCCTCCAATCCAATATAGGACCTCTGTCAGTATAAATGCATTTTGTTGCATTTTTGCTTCTTTTATCACTTAGCAAGTAGCACAGTTCAACATAACCATTACATTCAGGGTGTCTTCCTCTTCTTTCAGACTTCAAAGACCTCCACTAACCTCCATTACCTTCATTTCTTTGTTTTAAGCATCCTTAAGAGAGATTTTAAGAGTCCATAATGGTGAGCAGCACATAAAGATCCACTTTAAAATCCAGATGCTCATAGTTCTTGCTTATTTTACAGTGAAATTAGTTATATGCCACTTCTCTTTCCTAACCAGCTTCCTCCTTTCCATAGCTTTCAAACATATTTTATTAATTACCCAACTACTGCCTTCTGCCTACTTGTAAAATTGATTTTTAAGGAGTTGAGGGGAAAACCACATCAAACTCAATGCTGTCCTTAAGAACCTTTGTTCACTAGTGACTTTTTAGTCCATAAAGATCCAAGGCATTGGCAGATGAAGAATGAAATGTTACAGTCAAGAAGGTCAAGGACAGCAGATCTCATTGCAGTGTTGTCAGCTACCTGGTTCTCTCATCACTTGGATGCTGTTCTCAGTGTGATGTGATAGGTGAACAAAGTTTCAAAGGTTTATGGTGTTGGTTCAACTATCCTGAACAATCTTCAGCAATTATCCTGTCCTTAATGAGAGCAGACTAGAATAACTTGAAGTACCTGTCCTAGTTTGGGTGCCAGAAGCAGTATAGCTATGGCATTAGGAGCCCAGCATAGACTATTATTTAACTCTATTTTCCAAGTGTGCTTTGCAGACAAAATCAAACCCTGTTACCATGACTAAATTGCTGCAGTTCCCCAGTTAACTAGCTTGAAGGAAGCCTCAGCTGGTGCTGCTGTGCAGACACACCCTTAATCTTAGAGGCTAAGGCAATGGAAAGAGACAATCTTGTGCATCCTTGAGGATCAGTTGGCCATATACAGACTTTGGCTTGAAAAGTTCCCTTTTATGTTATCGTTGTTTGCAGTTCTCTTCAAAATAATTCAGCACTGTCTGGGGTGACTGTGTTCAATTCATCTTCACTGCTGTATATGTCCTCCACTTAAAGGCAGATGAGTTGACTAAAGGTTCTTTGAACATGCTGAGAGCAGTTATAAAAGTCAGTTACAAAACAGTGAGATAAGGGCAAATACATTGGAGTTGTTTAGTGTGGTACCCACTCCACTTGTATCAAGGATAATAACAAAAAACCCAGTAAAGAACAGCAAAAACACAGCAGGCTTTTAGCAGGGCCATTTCATATTTAGATCCATTAATTTGAAACAAAATCACCACCACATTAACTTGCAGCAGAGAAAAGCAGCATGAAGGGCACAGGCAAGTGAACAGAACTTCTTGATCTTAGCATCCAAATGCATTTATCGAGTATGTAAAACTGTTGACATAGATCTCTCTGAAACTGTACAAATGCACAGTACAGCCATAGCTCAACAAGAAGGAGGAATTGCATTCCCTCCTCTGTGTGCATGCTGCTATGTACAGTATGAGTGTGTATTAATACACATTAATTCAGGATCCTAAACTTTCCACTTGTATCGCAGGCCATCTCCTGCCCCACAGGCTGAATCCCACTGAACAACACTGAGTTCCTACAAAATGACATTCTTTTCCTCCTGTCCAGGTGGAACAGTAAGGCCCCAGAGTGAAAATCATGGTCCAGCTAGCTTCAGCAAGAGCATGATTTCACACCATGACTGTATGTGTATAGGTACACGCACACATGGCCACACATTCATTCTGTACATATACAAAGGTACACATACATTTTTACATTCTTTGGTGGCAAAATAATTAAAAAAACCCAACAAACCACAGGGCTGCACAGACTGTGCATCTTTGCTTAGTGAATCTGCTTCAGGAAAACTTGGGTTGCTGTAACAGGAGTTATTTTGCCTCTTTAAGGACTATTCCCTGCATTGGCGAAATGCCATACATTTACAATGACTAAAACAGGGCACAAGGAAAGCCAACATAAACACAGCTCACATAATGACAGGTAACTCAGAGAGAGCCCCTTCCTACCCACACCAACACACCATGAGAAGAAGCCATATGCTTTCACCTCAAATGCTTCCTCAGTTACTGTCTGGATGTTGTGCTGAGCTGTGGCACACCCTTCTTCTGCCCTGGCTTGTGGGGTTTTGCTTTTTGTTGCTTATTAAAATTGAACTAACAGAGGACGGGATGTTGGGAGCAGCAGAGGAGGCTGGCAGTTCAATGCCACACCAAAGGGTTGTCAGCCTGTGTGCTTCAGATGAACGGCTCTTCTTGTCGCCACCTCTGGGACGTCAAACCTGCATCTCAGAGGTGCTGATGAGGCCCAGTGCTTTGGCTTCTTCTGGTGTGAGTCCACTCTTTAGCGTCCTTCTCACTGGTCATGAATTCCAATAGCAGGCAAAAAAACCCAAAACAAAACCAAAGAAAATGCAAACAATTAGAATCGATAATTACACAGGACTTTCAGCTGCAAAAAACCCTGTTAGCATGCAAACTGATTCAAATCAAAAGTTGCTATGTAGTCAGGGCCTCAAGTTCAGAAACACTGAGTAATGCCCTATGGCAAATTCATGGGAGCACCAAGTTCTCAGCAACTCCAGTCTGGCAAAAAGACATTTGTCATTTGACATTTAGTTAACACAAATTTTTAAGGAAAAATACCACAGCATTTTAAGATTATTTTTTTCTCTGATATTGTATCAGTTTGATACAAATCAGTTCATTTTCAGTCCATAGAAGGCATCATCTGCCCTATTATGTTATAGTTTCATAAGGATTTTTAAAAAGAGCTTTGGGATCTTCATAGGGCTCCACTGAATTTATAACTATTAAATCCTATGAGACCCATTAAATGTGTAAAAAAACCTCAGAAAGTTAAAAGATTAAAATCATGACTACTTTATAGTTGATCCAAGTCATTAAAACTACTGTTTTCATACACATTCCCCTTTCTTCTTCTGATCCCCCATCCTAGCACCATTTGCGTTGTCTTTGCCATTAGTAGTCTACAGCATTTTAGTTGAATTTAAATGAGAAATCTATGCCAAAGTCTTGTTTCTTAATTTTCTAGAAAGTGTTCTGAACACTAGCCCCAACATAAAACTTTTAAAATTGGTCATTGCCCTTTTTATTCAGACACAAGTGACTGTGTGACTGCACACACTGAGCATTAGTGTTCTCCCAGTTTTACTGGTGCCATGATTTTCAGGCAGATGGGCTTTAATTCAAGACACAAAAGAGGTGTTCACTCCACACTTTGATGTTCCTCAAGTACAAAATGCACACTGAGAAATTTAGGCTGCATGTGAAGCATAAACAGTGACTTAATGTTGAACAGAATATATTTGGAACCCCAAAATAAGTCTAGAGGAAACTAATCTTAGAGAAACCAATTGCAAACAGTGGTCAAGGACTTCTTGCATTGCTATCATTTAGCACAATTAAGACCTCTAACTTATTGAGATGTTCAGTCCATGTAACTGAAACTGGGTGGTCACACTTGAGGGTCAAGCAGGAGTGAGAGGAGGGAATGATTGGCATAGAAAACAAGGGGATAAAAGAGAGGAAGAATACAGCATAGTTGAACATTTGATACCATGCAGGTAGAATGAATGTGATCTATGTTTGATAGCCAAACCACTTTCATCAGTTACTGAGGTTAACCAGATGTAGTGAGAATGCCATGTGTATAGTTGTTCCTTCATTATCAAACCCTTACTTGAGAACTTTTTTCAAGGGTCACTCCTTTCTCCTACAGTATTTGCATGCTTATTAAACACCACCAGGAGTCTCCACAGCAGCCTTTTCTGATACACAGGTTTTTCTACAATACTGATCAGCAACATCTTTCAAGTTTAACAATACTTAGCTTAAAGCAATACAAGGTTAAAAGCAACTGATAAAGCTAAGATTAAGAAAGACTAAAAAAGTACTACCAGAAGAGAAATAAACTTCAAAAAATGCTCTGGTCTCCTCGGTGCAGAATACCCAAAGAGGACATTTGAGTCAGTCCTCGCCACTGCCACCCTTTTTTACTTCTCAAATTTGATATCCAAATGTCCATGGCAATAAATGTTAATTTCCAGACATGAGCTGTGAAATACCTTAGAGTCTTAAGGTCTCAGTGAATCTCCCAATACTTATTTCTGTATCAAAATGAACTATATCAGGAGTGGAAGAACAAATCCAAGAAAGCTGCAGTAGCAACATTTCTGTCTTACTAAAAGCAAAGATTTCCCTGTGCAGTGCACTTGCTTGGCTGCCTGCATTGCCTCTCCCCTGAATGTTTGTTTTTCCTGTACCTTCTGTAACATGCAGCCAAACATGGATCATAGCTAGCTTGGCCACCAGATAGTAGAGTCACGTTAAAAAATATGCATATAGGAGACCAAACCTTCACAAGATGACAGTCTAGATGACATTGAATCTTCCCACTGACATTACATTCCTACTGATGCAAAAGGGAACTAGAAAACCAAATGCTGACCAAATTTCCACATTTTAGACACTTCTTCAGAAGAGTCAAAGCCAAAGTATTCATGACTGTTTTCACACATATTTCCAACTCGCTCAGACCACACTCACTTACATTTGCAAACTGAGCACAATAACTATTGTAAAACAAAGCTTTTTTTTTCTTGCCATATGGTAAGACAAGAAGAGAACAGAATTGTTATTCCTGTTTGTAAACATTTAACAGGAACTGAGGTACTCTGCTAACACTGGCCATGTACTGGACTAAACAAAATTCTGCAGCTATTTATGGCAAGACATACCTAGAACAACCTTCTTTAGGTCAGTACAATTACTACTGCACAAATAACTGGTCTGACACTCTATTTAGCAACTGAAAGGGAAATGTGTGCCTCTAACTTCCACCAGGCAGAATACAGTTGTTTAAATTCTCCAACAACCTAAGTGACAGGATTACTAATTTACTAGGAAAAGCCAAATAGATTTACAATAACATATAGGTCTCTTTGAAGAAAACTACAGGAGTTTATGTTCAGAAATGATAATCAGGAGTTAAAATACCATGGTAGAAACCATCTTCATGGAAAAACAAGGAGTCTTCTTTACATTGAATAAGATATCTTTCTGAATCTCCAGATGCCTACCCACCAAACATACTAAAATCTTAGTCTGAGGGCCTTGTGTTTTAACCCTTTGATGACTGAAGAAAAGAAATACTGTGTGCAGCATGTGACAAGGACAAGGGCCCCGTTCTTGGATGACTGACATAACGGAGGCCAACCCCAGACTTGCACTTTTTGTGCCACTGCAAAACAAGTAGGAATGACAATACTCAATGAATTGCTGGGAGATACACAGCAGTAATTAAACAAAACATCCCTCAGTTGATTGTTCTAACTTAGTTCTCATAAAATACAGAGAATGATGGTATCTTGGATTTAAGATATTCCAGTGACCTATGGTTTAAAGGCCAGTAATTAGGTGAAAAGAGCTCCAAACAATGTAGGACTTTGGTGGTGGCAATCAGATCATCAAGAAATTGTGAAGAATATTTTCAGTGACAGAATGATTCCCATAAAAACTGATGGCTGATGACTTATATAAATGAAGTGTCTGGGACCAAATACTGTTACTGTTAAATCTGTCCACCATCCATAGGCAAATGGAAGGATAACAGCTGACAGAATCATGGCCCAGATTCAAATGAGGGAATTTGTGCCCCTACAATGCAACAGGCCAGCCTGACACAGATGAATCTGCTTGTAGTTTGAAGTATTAGATACTCAGAGAAATGACAATAGTATGATAAGGGGTCTCCTTATATAAAAATTAGATCTAATATGTACAAATTACAGTACATTCCCTCATCTGAGGATACAGTGGATGTCTTTAGTATCCATAGGAACACAAGAACAAGTTCCAGCCCCACTATTCTCTGCACTGGCTTGTAGAATATGGAGCCTTGTGTGTGATGTAGCCAGGAGAAAGTTGGGTTATCCACGGGAGCAGGGACTACTCTGCTAGGTGGGTGAACCTTGTCTTCACATTCTGTTAAACAGATGTCCTCAGTTGTTTGTCTGTTTCCTCATAAAGTACTTGGTAGGGTTCCTCTTCCTTAGGTCATGAACACGTTCAGTCATCCAAACTGAATGCAGGGAGATATTTTCCTTCCATGTTTTATAGGCAATGGAAGATAACATTTCTCAAACTAGATCTTCCCTCTCCCCGCTTCACTGAACTCTGTCATGTCTCTAACTGGACTAGACATAATATCTTGGCTTGTAAAACTCTTGGCCTGCTGCAGATCACATTAAACTGAGTTATGGAATGTATTTTGGAGGCAGTGACAATAAAAATAAGACTTTCAAATGACCTTTTAGGTTCTTCAAGCAATTTTTAAAACATTTGCTAAAGAAACATAACATAGAGAGAAAATAACTTTTACTCTTGTCACAAGCAAGGCCTGCTGAGATCCCATAACCAAGAAACTAAATGTTGTTTTTCTGGGGTCAGAGGGTAAGATATTCTTTGTTAATCAGGACATCTAGAATTTTATTTGATATCCTGGCAGAATGCAGTGTGCTTATGATGAACTCAATGAATTTGACTCTGCCTCTTGGGTCAAAATCTACACAGATACATAGTCCTCACACTATACTGGAAATGTTTTAAAAAGGAGTAATTCCCCAAGCATAGCTTTGTCAGAGAATATAATTATCTAGGGTTTGGTTGTTTTTTTAAAAAGCAAATAGCATTTCTAATTTCCTCTCTCCCTACCTTTTGTTTTTTTTAAGATTCAACAAACAGCAAAGACCAGCCTGGCTGGCGCCATTTATTCGTGCATTTGCAATGGCTTTTGGCATGTGTGTCCACAGTTGTATGAGTCACTCGAAAGGCAGAACAGATATGACCATGCTCCTGCTCAAGCAGTCACAGAATGAGTGCCATTCCTATTACAAAGATGTGGCAGCCACAGAACTTTCTCTCAATCCCAGCTGCAAAGGTAACGCAGCTGCTAGTTGCTGATTTGGAACGAAGAAAATTCCACGTGGCTGTAAATTGCACAGCAAGGACAGCAGGAAGGGCAGATTATAAGAGGGAATACAGGCCAGCTCCTTCATCTCATTTCATTTTATGTATTGCAGTTTTATTTTCTGTTACCTATCCACATCCAGTTTGAACACTTAGTCTATGTTCTCATATATTTACATTCAACATATTCTCTTGGACTTTACTCCAGTGAGTTCAGCAATGGCAATTTGCAGCCCAAAAGTTCAATTCAGACAGTCTTGCTCATATTTTCTTATTTTAATCCTTTTCTGTCTTTGTGTTTTTATGCCACCGTCTATACAAGTTATACTTATGTTTAATTATGCATATCATTGCTTAATATGAGTAGGC